CGCTTCTACTACTTCTATCTCTGCCGAAGTCCTATGAGAATCTGGTTCAAACACTGATGCTTGTGGGTGACAGTTTGTCGATGGATGAGACTTGTTAATTTGGTTGAATACGCACTCTCGGTGGAGGAAGATGAGCCGGTCTCCTTCAAGGAAGCTATTCGGGACAAAGATAGTGAGAGTTGGTTGGCTGCGATGGAGGAGGAGATGGAATCTCTCCGGAAGAACCAAACATGGGAGGTGGTCCCATTGCCCGTAGGAAAGAAAGCTATAGGTTGTAAGTGGCTGTATAAAAGAAAGGAAGATCCTTCAGAGCTCGGTGGAACGAGGTACAAGGCGAGGCTAGTGGCTAAGGGGTTTGCACAAAGAGAGGGTGTGGATTACAATGAGATATTTTCTCCGATGGTGAAACACACTAAAATTCGGGTGCTATTGAGTATTATTGCTCATGGTAATCTTGACCTGGAACAACTCGATGTCAAGACAGCCTTCTTGCACGGAGACTTGGATGAAGAGATCTATATGCATCAACCTGAGGGCTACAAGGTTGAGGATAAGGAGCATCATGTATGCCGCTTGAGAAAGTCACTCTATGGATTGAAGCAATCTCCTCGGCAGTGGTACAAGCGTTTTGACTCCTTCATGCTGAAGCATGGGTTTTCCCGAAGCGACTATGATTGTTGTGTTTACATTCGGAAGCTTCGTGGAGGGGATTATATCTATCTCTTGTTGTATGTGGATGACGAAGAACAAGGTGGAGATAGATAAGCTAAAATCTCAACTTAGCAATGAGTTCGAGATGAAGGACATGGGCGCTGCTAGGAAAATACTGGGTATGGAGATTAGAAGAGAGCGGGCGAATCGGCGATTGTTCTTGAGTCAGAAGGGCTGCATAGAGCAGGTGATCGCGAGGTTCGGGATGCAAAGTGCAAAGTCGGTGGTGACTCCATTGGCTCCACACTTCAGGCTTTCAGGTAAACAATCTCCCACTACAGCGGAAGATAAGGCACACATGGAGCTTGTTCCTTATGCGAGTGCAGTTGGCAGTTTGATGTACGCTATGGTGTGTACACGTCCTGATATTTCACAGGCGGTTAGTGTGGTCAGCAGATTCATGGCGAATCCGGGAAAGGCGCACTGGGAAGCGGTGAAATGGTACGGGTCTGTGTTTTGGTGGAGATACATGTCAGATTGACGGGTATGTGGACTCAGATTATGCGGGCGATCTAGATAGACGGCGATCTACTACTGGTTATGTATTCAGAATACATGGAGCTCTAGTTAGTTGGCGATCAATGTTGCAGGCTACAGTGGCACTTTCTACAACAGAGGCCGAGTACATGGCTATGGCGGAAGGAGTGAAGGAAGCATTGTGGCTGTGGGGTCTTCTAGACGATTTGAGGATCGAGCAGAAAAGTGTGAACTTGTGGTGCGACAGTCAAAGTGCGATTCACTTGGCGAAGAATCAAGTTCACCATGCTCGTACCAAGCATATCGACGTCAGGTATCATTTTGTACGGGATGTCATAGAGGAAGGTGATATTTCTCTCATGAATGTGCGTACGAATGAGAATCCCGCGGACATGTTAACCAAGGTGGTCACAGGTAGCAAGTTCCACCATTGCTTGAACTTGCTTCATATCAGCCCGTGTTGAGTTGCCCAAGAGGGCATGGCCCTGCGGGGCGGAGATGGAGGTGAGGTGGAGACTATGTCGGAGAATAATTGCAGAACTACGGTTAGCTTGATCCCGGTGGAGGGTACGTAGGCAGTCACGGTATAATGACGCAGCTGGTTTGGCCTGGTTTGGCCTGGATCTCTCTGGTGATGTTCATTGGGTTCTTCTGGTGTTCGTCCAAAATTTGAGGTTTATCAAATGATGTACGAGGTGGAGAATTGTGTTTGCTGGGGGGACACACCCACGTGGGTGTGTCCTTTCCCTCTCCAGCCCACAAAGTTCGTGGGCTCGAGGGACACACCCACAAAGGTGTGTCCCATCTCCGGATTTTGGAGATCCCGCGCACCCATCTCCGGATTTTTTCGGAGATCCTGCGCCGCCCGCCGATTTCTCTTCTTCCCGCGCACGGCTTCTTTCCCGCGTTCTCTGCCTGCTCAAGATTTCAGCCTTGCCCCCCCTTGCTCTTCTATAAATAGAGAAGGGGTGGAGGAGATAGGTTGTGGGGAAAAACAATTGGGTTGTGTGAGTTTTCTTTGAGAGAAAAGAAAGAGTGAGTGAGAGAGAACTTGTAAAGTTTGATATTCTCCTCATAGTGAAACCCCCTCCCGTGGACGTAGGCTAGTTAGCCGAACCACGTAAATCTCGTGTTTGTATTTGTCTTATCTGTGAGTTGCCATAGCTTATAGGTTCCCTCGATATTTCAGTCCTTGAACTGATGAGAGGAAGAGTGTATATTTCACTTTGATAAAATATATCACTTTAGATTCTTGTTTCCTTTGAGAAATAAGAATTTCACTATCTATTCTCGTTTCCTTTGAGAAACAAGAATATAGAGGTTGACTTGTGCTTTTGTGACAACAGAAGCCAGGGCTCTCTCTCAGGTGATATCGCTTCCGCGACGGTGGGCGTGACTCCGCCCTAACATCTGGCGAGGAGAAGAAACTGACAGAGGAGGAGGAAAGTGAGGCGGGCATTCGCCGGAGATCTGGCAAGGAGAAGAAACTGACAGAGGAGGAGGAAAGGGAGCTGCTTGATGCGTTGAGGAATGTGGGGGATTGTGGGAAGGAGTCTAAGGTGCTAGAGATTGATTTGGATGATCAAAGTTTTGAACTTGGTGAACTTAGAGGTTGGTTCTTAATAAAAAAAAATTGTTCTTCGAAAGTAATTTACTTTTCTTCCTTTTTCCTTGCCTTTAAATTATTGAGGTTTTGAATTGAATTGATCTGAGGATTTGGTTCTCTGGTTTGTTAGAATCTTGATCCTTTTGCCCGTGTTAGAAAATTTTGGGATGCGTTAAAGCCTGCGGACACAATTTTTTTTGCTAGAATTGAGTTTAATGGTGTTTCCTAAGTTCTCCTCTTGCTCTTGACATGCCCTTCTCTATTTTGTATCTAGAGCTTAGTAGGTCACCCTCGATTGATGCTACAACGTGATGTAAAAATTTTCTTCTTTTAACTTGGTTACTTGTTCACATCAATAATTACTTGGCTATAAATCTATTCTTATGCAGAGAATTCATCCAAACCAGCATCAGGGAGTTATCCTCCTCCATCAAGCTTAAGCTCTAAAGACACTATATCAATCCAAAGCAAGAGCAAAATCGTCGGCGATAATGGCAGAATGGAATCAGGAAGTCACTCACAGACGCTAGGAAGGTTATATCACTGGGAGAAAAAGCTCTATGAGGAAATCAAGGTACATTATTACTGTTCCTAAAATGCACTATAAATTATGATATAAACTTTTTTCGTTAATCATGGATCACTCCTGATCTTGTTCATCCTCCCATCCTATTTAGGCCGGAGATCATACACGGCAAGCTTACAAGAAAAAATGCTTACAACTAAGAAAACACCAGGATGCCAAAGGAGTTGATACACATTCACTCGAAAAAACCAAGTCTTAATTAACAGAGTTATACACAAGAATCTTGGTCTCCATCCGTTCCATAGAGAAGGTATGGATCAAAATACAGAAGGTTAGAGATGAAGAGCTACAGCCCCAGGTCATTGAGCTTCTACAAGGGTAAAGCACAGTAATATTACCACCAATTCATCAAGGGTTAATTGCACATAGATAGCTCAGATATCCACTCTTTTTCCCTCAGATAAACTCACTAATTTCACCTGGGGGCAATATCTACCAAAATTTCACCGAGACTAAAATAGTCACCAGAAAAAAAAAGAAAAAGAAAAAACTGAGGGGGTCTATCATGGACACTGAAACTAAAGTGCAAAACAAGGATACTACAGCAGGGCTACGTGCAATTAGCTAACTCACTAATGAGCTTTCATTGCCTAACTTTGTGTATTATCTTTTGCAGTTTACTTAAAACATGGAAGATAATGTTAGAATCCCATGAAACCCAAAAAAAGATTATGTCACAAGTAAAATCCTTCTCGTGTCCTACCTACGGAAAATTTTGCAATGATTCACAGAGACAACTGACTATAAGGGTAGCGAGAGTTTCAAAACTGGAGATTATGCTTCATGAGTTATATCGCAGCACAAAGATCATACATTGAATTCTATTCTCAAGTCAGTGACTCCGCAAACTACAAGTCAGTGTCCTTGGCTATAAAAGGCTTCATCAAGGCCACAAGAGTTTTGTGGGTTAAGCAAGGAGAACAACAACAACAGAAGAAGAGAGTAGACAGCCTTGTCAAAGAACTAGATCGAAGAGTTCCTGAATCAAAGCTTTTGGATATCAAACATAGAGATTTGATCGATAAATTGATGAAAAAGGTGGAAGTGGAGAAGGTGAAGCATCAAGAATGCATGAAGAAGACTCAGAGGGTCACGCTCGAAGGATTTAGGATTGGATTGCTTGGGGTTTTTGAGTCGTTAACGGTGTTTTGTAAGGATTCTGTGAACTTGTATGAGAAGATTTTGATGTGCAATGAAAAGGTGAAAGTGACAATTGAGACTGAAGGGAAGAGTTCAAGGCTCACAGGTTGAAGTGGACAATAGATGAAGCGATGGACGATGTGGAGTAGTTAAAATTTCAAGTTGTTTTCTCAAATTTATATGCAGTTTTAGGGTACAGAGCTAGATTTGTGCTGATTGTTCTCAACGGGAATCACTGTTGTTGCTGTTTTTTTTTTGGACTTTTGAGGATTTACAGATGTGTGTGCAAAATCAAAGTTTTGTGAAAAGAAAATAAATAGAGAGATTGGTTTATCTATTGTATGTTTCTTTTTTGAACTGACTAGAGAGATTTTCATTTTAAATTTTTCCCTTCCGGACAACTAGACAATGCTGAACTCCCCCCAACAAATATTTTCAACGTCCAAGGACTAGAAAATGAGATTGTGAAGCAAAATATAATAAATAAAAATGTTTGAGTACACTCATCTCATTATAAGATATTCCAACAACACCTGACAGATAAAAAACTATAAACTACAGTAAATTTTATGTACACATATTTTGACATTTTGGATACAATACAAGCTAAGTGTACATTCAGCGGATAACAATTGAAATGGTCATACTAACAATAATTACAAAGTTAAAAATGGGTAATGTTGGCAGGCCTACCTCAAATACAGAGATACCAAGAACTGAGAAAATAGAATGAATTCGCTTACAATCACTGCAGGTGAATGGATGCCGAAAAAGGGAACTATATCTACCTGCAACCACTGCTCAACAACTGATCCAACCGCTGCTCCAATGACAAGTCCACCAACAGTTATTAGCGTCGCCTTTCCTACAAATACAGAAAAGCAAAATAGTTTTCATATTTCAGCGCTTCCAGAGAGTTTCAGAGGAAGGAAATCATCATTCAAATGATTGGATTTAGTAATCATTTTTAGGATCCATCATTCAACGTGATGATAAGATTGAGAATAATAATTCCCATAGGATTAAAGTTGGAAGATTAAAATAGGAATTGCTTCTAGAAGATTATGTGACCAAATATATATTGAATGAAATAGGAGAGAGAGTTTTACAAGAGGCTTATACAACTTTTTACGCTTTATAAAATAGTGTATTATGCTATTTATGAAGAATCATTTTAAAAAAAAGTAAGCATTCACGGAATAAACATATTTAAAATGTATGACAAAGCAGTTTTTTAAAAAAAAAAGTGATAAGAATAGGTACATGCATGCATAAGAACATATAGCCTTCGATGGCAGATGTTGGGGATCATTTGCAACGATTTGGGCATGTCCGAGGGGGACCAATAACAGAGCTATTCAAATCAATTATTTTAGCTGATGGGAGTTACACCGATGAGGGATAGAGGTAAATTAGAAATGCCGGATCTTAATCTGAAAAAGGAGATGATCTTTAATGGAGTTGAACAAAGAAAAGAAGTTCAGTTGTTGCTGCAGTTGGACCTAAATTCTTTCTAGCAGGATAAGTTCCACCTTGTGAGTGAAGGTGAGGCAACAAAACCACAACCATTATTTGATAACTGAGTGATGGGTGATTCATAACTCAGTAAAACTTGAAACTACAATACATACTCTTCTCAAGTTGCAATGCAGACCATGGACTTAACATCCAACAGAAAGGAGACTAAACCAATCCACTACTTACCTAGACTTGAGGTCTTCTTAGTCAAGAAGTAGAGAGAAGCGCCAAAACTAGTAGCCAATATTATTCCAGGAACATCAGCGCCAGTGTACGTTCCTCCTGAAGGCGAGGAGGCTCCGCTAGCAAACGTGAAAACCGCCAAGGCTCCGTACACTCCTGCTTGTATACCCAAATCACGAGTAGAAGGGGTTTCAACTGACACAGGCGCGTTTTTTACAGTCGTCTGTAGCCACCGTGGCAAAGAACTAGGCTGCGAAGTTCTTACGGGTTTGACATCAGCGTATCTGATGCTACTGTTTACAACTTTGCCGGCCCTTCGTTGAGTTAAGCTCTGCATGAGCAACATGTCATATGCTGCCTCCACCTGAGACAGAAAAACAAACAAACACAATAAAGAGATGATTCTCATCAACAAACGCCATGGCCACTCAAGCACTCGCAAATTACACGAGCTCCCTATTGTACGGCTACCGAGAACATCACATGGTTGATTCAGTTGCAGGAGATGTTATCGAAAAGGAAAAAAAGCGAATATTTTCGAACTATATGAAGGTCGGAAAATTGTCAATCCGAGCACTATGTAGAGTAATTTACATTGTGAGGAACAGAGCTAGGATTCTGGGGGTATCAAAGCCAAAAAAAAAGGGCGAACCTTTGGGGTATTAACTTGCAAATAGGATTTCCATTTATTATATAAAAAGTGAGCAAATTTCCAGCTGAATTCAATAAATGAACAAAACCCATAGAATGTTTCCCTAGAAAAAAAAACCCTAGAAAACTCCAAAATCAAACCTGAGCAATGGCCTCCTGATCATCCTTGCAAGAGGCAACGATGGCGTTCTTGGCTCTCAGAATCTCATCGAAGGAAGCGCCCTCCTCGACCCCGAGAAGCTCTCAGCGCGCTCTCCACCGACATCTCGAACGGCGCGCGACGACGAGTCCCGCGAGGGCCCGCAGCCCCGCGCCAACCCGCCGCCGCGGGGGCAGCGGCGGCGGAGGCGAGGAGCCCCACCGCCTCCGGCGGGACACGTGGCGGGAGACGAGGGCATCGCAGGGTTTGTCCGGAGGAGGCAGCCGTTGTTTGAGTGAGGAAGCACGCTGCCATTGATTAGGTTTCCTCTCTCTGTGGCTGCGCCTTTTATTGTGAGGAATCCGGAGAGGAAAGAGGTTGAGCAGTGCAAGGAAAGATATGGTAGGGTCACAAAAATGCTTGTTTTATTGTGAGTCACAATAATTCAAATTTCAATTAAATTTGTGAATATTTTATTTTTAAACTATTATTATTATTAGGATAAATTTTGAAAACCATCAGATTTACAAAAAAAAAATTCGCAAAAAAAAAACGACATCTTCTAAAAATAATTGTCAAAACCGACTCAGTTTCAACCGTCGGTTTTGACCAAAAAAAACTATGAAACTTTAAGGGACTTGAAGTCCCGTGTAGTTTAGTAGCTTATAATTACTTTAATCTATTAACATTTAGGCGGTGCTAAACTTCACAGGACTTCAAGCCCCGTGAAGTTTCATAGTTTTTTTGGTCATAACCGACCCAATTTCAGCCTGACGGTTGAAACTAGGTAGGTTTTGACAATTATTTTTAGAAGATGTTGTTTTTTACGAATTTTTTTATAAATCAGATGGTTTTCAAAAGGACAAATTTTTAAAAGAGCCTTTTTTCACTTTTATATAGCAAAACCGACCAACCCTCAAAATAATCTGCAAAACCGACCCTAAAGGGTCGGTTTTGCAGATTATTTTGAGGAGTAGTCGGTTTTGCTATATAAAAGTAAATAAAGGGTTTTTTTTTTTAAATTTGTCCTTTTCAAAATTCTCTATATTATTATTATTTTGGATACAAGGGAAATCTTAGCAAAGCATGATGATCCTTCAGCCAAAGCCCACACTTTAGATTAGGCATGCCGCATGCAGAATCAAACTAAGAACCTGGGATGTTGGCAGTATTATTAGTGCATTTTGTACCACATGCAATGTCCGCGATGGGTTACTTTTTTATCTTATTATATATATATCACAATCGATAACCATTTCAAATAATTTTCTGTTCTTTAAAAGTCGAGTCGAGCTATTTTTGATTGTATATAAAATGTGGATACTATAGTTTAAATCCAAAGTATGAACTTATTAAAAAATTGTTCTGTTAGATGTGATGTAATATTCATATGCTAATTAGAAATAAAAGATTGACAATTTGACAAGAATTTTTGGAATGCAGTACATGGACAAAACATATTGAAATCATTCTAGATCTTAATGTAGACAGTTGATTACTTGGTGTGTACAAAATCAGAGCTGATGATGTTATGTTTTAGCTTTAGAACCAAAATTTTATATTTGGATGGATGGTGTTCACATTTTCGCAGATTATTAATAGTATTTTAACTTCCCACAACCTTTGATATTGTCTTGTTTTTTTGGTGGATATTAATCATCAACGTATAAGTCTCTCAAACCTTTGAGATTGCTCTATGTCTCTCAAAATTTTTAGCGGTTTTGCAATTTGGTCCCTCGATGATCAAAATAACCCTCGAGTAATGGTTTATTTTTATAATTTAAATAAGATGCGCTTCGGAAGGAAATATAAACAGAGGAGTATTCTGATCATTGAGGAAACAAATAAGCAATTCCAAAGATTTGAGGGGCTTACATGGAATTATTGAAGATTTAAGGGACTAATAATAACTAAATAAGAGCTTTCTTTTTAGTCTGAGCTAATACCTTAACCCTTTCCCATCTCAATCAGTAACCAGCCAAGTCCAAAAGAAGTGGAGCAGAGCAACTCTCTTATCTCTCATCTCCACGCAACTCAAACTCCAAAAGAGGGAATAAAAAGGAAAATGTTTATTTATTTGTAGATCAGAAAGAGAGTCAAAGCAAAGTTAGGAACTTTTGGTGGCATTGGCTCTAATTAAGCTAGCCACAATGTTGATAGCTGCTGCTCCTGCTTCCTCTTCTCTCTGCTTCACCCAAAACAGGAGAAGATATAGCTGCAGAGCTGAAGCAATCCCTTCTCCTTCTCAATCTCATGATCAGAGCAAGGAGGAGGAGAAGAAGAAGGTGGTTGTTGTGGGCTCTGGATGGGCCGGGCTCGCCTCTGCTCATCATCTCTCCAAGCAGGTTCACCCTCTTCCTCCATTGGACTCAATACTTGAGTAAATTGCATCTTCTTGATTTTTATTTACTTATTTACAGGGATTTGATGTTACTGTTCTAGAACCTGAGAGCTGCCCTGCTCCAGAGGTTGGCATCAGAGGTGACCCAATTTACTTTCCTCCTAAAATGATATTTTTGTTATCAGAATTATGCATGTTTTATACTGTTATATATACCTAAAAGCCCAGCTCAAATTGATGAGTTCATGAAGCCCCTTTCAATTGATCGCCTTTCGATCTATTGGGCTCACAAGAAACTTATATTAAGCTACAGCTGTGATCTCTGCATACCTCCTCAAATGTAATATATTGACTGAGCTCCCCATTTCAGTCATACAAGGAGTACAAAATGCAATCACACACAAGAAGAGGACGTCAAGAATTACGCGGTTTAGACAGCTAGTTTCAATCAATATCCACATATTTGCTAGTGTAAAGATCCATTATAACGAAGAGATTTCATGAGTTATAATATCTATATCCTCATTCAAGTCGTTGTTTAAACTCAACGTTAACGATATGCATATCTGCAGGTTTCTGGTCCCCTTATCGTAATGTTTTCTCTGTTGTTGATGAACTCAGACTCCAACCTTTCACGAAAAAGACTGGATCAGCTCTTTACACCTCAGAGGGGCTCGAGGTACTCATTCTTTCTGCGTTCAACAACGGTAGGCATACGTTTCATTCGTATGTTGTATTATCATCATCACTTTTTCACAGGTGGAGTTCCCTGTATTTCAAGATCTCCCTCGACTACCAACTCCATTTGGAGCTCTCTTATATCCTCAGGTACATCTTCTACCATTAAACTCGAGGCTAAAGCACAGTTACTAAATCAGCGCCTTCATCTTTGTGCATAGTTTCTTCGTCTCCCGTTGGTGGATCGTTTGACATCAATTCCTCTTATTGCTCCAGGTATACGCAAACCCTTTATCTCGATTAAATTCTTTCCTTTCGCTCCTAACACAAGGCGCCAACTGCAGTGATCGACTTTGACAACACTGATATTGCTTGGACAAAATACGATGCAAGTGAGGAAAATAATCTTGATCCGTTTTGAAACATTCAGAAGTCAGTTCATTATAAGGTTTAATGAGGGTTTTTGGCTCAGTGACGGCAAGGGAACTGTTTAAGCTATTTGGATGCTCGGAAAAACTTTACTATGAAGCTTTTAAGCCATTAATTCATGCCGGTTTATTTGCTCCTCCAGAGCAGTGCAGTGCAGCTGCAACCTTGGGAATGCTTTACTATTACATCCTTGCCCATCAGGTCATTTTCATTCACATTCTACTCAAATTTGATACAACGTTGACAAAATTATATTCAAGCTTTCTTGTTAGAACTTATGATTTCATGGTTAAATTACAAAAAAATTCCCTAAGGCGTGCATTATTGCGAAATTACCCCCTGTGTTTCAATTTTTCAAAGTTAATTTGGATGTAGAATATTATAGTAATAAAACATAACAAGTACCTCTACGCCCATATGAACATTTACATGATTATTATATCAAAAATTATTGGAGTATTAGGTAGTTATCTTTTACGTTTGGGGTTCATTGCAGATATACCGCCATACAACGGTGGAGGTTGTAACTAGTTATCTAAACTACTTTACTAGCATCTACACGCCAAGAGGGTCTAGTTGAGTTGGTAAGCTGCCTATGAGTAGTACTTCAAGGCCTGAAGTTCGACGCTATTGGGAAGCACCCACAGGAAATTAATTTCCTATTAAACCCAAAAAAAAGGAATTTAATTTCCTGTTAAACCAAAAAAAACACACCCCTGAATCTCAGCTAACGTTACTGCAAAACATCATCTAAAAGATGAACAGGTTGTTGCAACAATATGTTCATCTCCGATCAGCAAAAAAATTTAGATGATAATTTGACAAAATTGAAGTGGCGGTAAAGTGTAACTTTCAAAACCTTAAGAGAGATTTTTTATCATTTCTACAAACCATAGAGGGATTTCTGTGTTTTACTCTAATTTCATTCTTCAATTTTCTGGATGAATTCTCCTGAGATGATGTCATTGATTGTCATTGAACAGCAAAATTTTGATGTTTTATGGTGTCGAGGGACAGTTCAGGAGAAAATATTTATCCCCTGGACCGACTCTATGAAAGAAAAAGGCTGCAAATTTCTTGAAGATAAAAGAGTGACAGATTTCATCTTCGATGAAGATCGTGGATGCATTTCAGGAGTTGTCGTCGGACAGGAGAAGTATGAAGCTGATGCAGTTGTTCTAGCTGTCGGAATTTCTAGTCTTCAGTCAACTATCAAGAGCAGGTAAACCACATAGAAGATGACTATTCCCTAAACCTATAAATTTCCTTTTAGGGTAAATTTCACGAAACCTTTACATAAAACCACCAAACTTTATAATGTTTAACTGATTCTCGAGTTTTTATCTAGTTCTTTGCTACAGTCACGGCAGGAATTCTTGAACGCCCTAGACTTAGCTGCCATTGATGTGGTCTCTGTTAAAGTATGGTTGGATAGAAAAGTAAGATAATTGTATTCTTTTCTCTTTTCTTTGTCAGTCGCTATTGTTTTACTGTAAACCATTACTGTAAACCAAGTGCTAATTCTAGATGTAAACAGGTTAAACTTCCAAAGCCAACTAATGTGTGCTCTGCTATCGATTCAATTGGATGGACTTTCTTCGAGTTGAACTCGATTTATGATGAATATGAAGATGAACCTACAACAGTTTTAGAGGCCGAGTTTGTAAGTTAAAAATTATTTCTGAAATTAATTTCTTGTAAGTTGAAATATGATGTTTTATTTTGCGCATGTTTTCTTTCGATGCAGTACTTTGCCAATCAGCTGTTGCCACTAAGAGATGAACAGATTGCAGTGAAACTAATGTCTAACCTTTCAAGATGCATAAAAGAATTTAAAGAAGCTAAAGTTTTACAGCAAACTGTTGTTAGGTTACCTAACTCTGCAACCCACTTCTTTCCAGGTAACATTCAGATTGAAAGTGTAGGCAGCTCATTCATTCTCGGTCATGCTTAATGAGTAGATGAAATTTTCATTCAATTATTAGTTTACAATGGAAAATAACAACTAGAAATTTAACTTATTTATTTATGTATTACATTCACGTTGTTGAAGTTTAGGTATTCACGTATGCATGATTAATATATTAATCATGAATCTTAGGCCTTGTTTGACAAATGGTTAAGGAAAAGGGGTTAAAAAGAATGATTAATGTATTTAGCACATTCGGTAATCTGAAGGACTAAATTATTAACCCGTTAAATAAGTTTTATTTTAGTCCTTGTGATCAATTTTAGTGTTTGGGAATAACAATGCTTTTGACTATTTTCTTTATAATTAGAAGGGTTAACTCTTAATCCTTCTAAATAGGAGTATTAGTAAACCTATAATTAGAAGGGTTAACTCTTAATCCTTCTAAATAGGAGTATTAGTAAACCCCTCATTTTGAGGAGTTAACTCATTTTAATCCCTCTAGCCCCTCATTTTGAGGAGTTAACTCATTTTAATCCCTCTAGAGGGGTTAGCTTAACCCTTCTATATTTTTTTATGTTTGACAAATTATGGAGGGATAACTCACTTTAACCCTTGTATAGATTTTTTGTGTTTGGCGGGTTAAGAAGGGGTTAAGTCTCCTTAACCCCTCACTTAACCCTTTGCCAAACGGTACCTTAATGTGTATGAAGCATTTGGTAGCTTACATATCTTAAAACTCAAATGTTAATTTTTTCCCCTCAACTTAGAGAGCAATTTAGCCTTTTTTTTTAAGCTAAACCAAAGGCAAACATGAATTTATCGTCAAGTGATATCTACGTGACATCTCAACCAAATAAGATAAATATTTTCATTTGGAGTTTAGGGGGGTAAGTGCAAACAAAACTCTCACGGTATTGGGGTTGTATCGACAATAACTCCTTATATTAAATTACAACCTGAAATTCGAGAAAACACATTCCAGTTATCTATTTTATGATATTTAGCCTGGAGTTTCTATCTGTTTTTAGGTTCCTATAAGTACATGATGAGAGGATCAACAAGCTTCCCAAACTTGTTTATGGCAGGCGATTGGATAGTTAATCGCCACGGCTCCTGGTCACAAGTAAGAAATAAAATAAATAATGCTTAATATATTGCATTTAACAAAAAAAAAAAGAAAAAGAAAATGATCTTCAGTATGTTGGCATGAACTGTCTTCCTCCCTCTGTTTTGGTTTTTGACAGGAGAAAGCATATGTGACTGGTCTTGAAGCTGCTAACAGGGTGGTTGACTATCTCGGTGAGGGGGAATTTGCCAGAATAATACCAGTGGAGGCAGATGAACCTCATATTGAAGCATTTAGGGAGCTCAATAGAAGGATCAGTGAATATAGATCTCAACTTCCCCTCTCAAACTTTTTTCTTAACTGAAGTAGAATCCTTGTTATCGCTCATCATAAAAAATCAAGATCATTGCTTGAAATCCACCTAGAGAAGTTTGGAATTTGATTCCACAATGTCTTTGTTGACTACTGTATAGATAAGTTAATGTATTAGAAGGGATGATACACGCGAATTATACTGGAAACTCAACCAATTTATACAATGAATATATAATTCCCTATATATCATTTATTGCGTATAAACAACAGTAAGAAAACAAATGAGACACAGATATGGTCGGCACTCGAATATCTGCCCTAGTTACTGATGAAGAAATGATACAGCTTGTTTGGAACCTCAAAAGATGTTATAAATACAATATGGTAAGAAACATGTGCGTACTTACAAGAGAAATCACCTTTTCAATACAGAAAGACATGGGCAAAACCCAGTGACTTATTGCACCTTCTTCTCTTTCTTTGCTTGTAATTTCCAGTATATAAACATCTGACTTAAGATTGTACCATTTGTCACGACGGCAAGGAGAGAACCCAAAATCACTGAATGAAAGTCATGGAAAACATTGTATGCACTCAGCACAAATAAGTATTGGAACTCTGTGCATTTGCACGCCACACATAAACATGATATAGGACAGATAATCTGTCTATTGGACATATAAATAAAACAAAATATGATAGAAGAAGAATAAGATAATGCTGTACTCTGGAAATATGAAAAGGCTAATGCTGTTAACTTAAGGACGTGAATAGAGATGCGAGAGTTAAAACTCAGATTAGTGCAAAAAGGATACTGCTCATTGTTGTATTTTCCTGCATGCTTGTAAACACCCTTGCTGCAAATTAAATAAATAAGTAACATGACTTCATTCAGTTCAGCTGTATACAGAATATGCACACTATTTATTCTATAATAAGTAGATAGTTTATCAAAACAAAGCAAAAGACTCCTAGTATTGGAAGAAGTGAAGAAAAATAGCATATTGTAAAATTTAAGTGGAACCCGAAACATCATTGGAGATCAATAATTCAATAAATAATACATGCATTGAAAAATATGAAGAAAAAAAATCCTGCAAACAACTTCTGCTTAATAACTTACGAAATACTAAAAATCAACCATAACGTATCATATGCTTGAGCCAAAACTTCAGGGAGTCCTTTGACAACAGACTGCACTTACCAACAGATCCAGCAAAGTTCATAAAGCAAGTTAAGAAGCTGAGCTCGCCAACGCTTTTGTTCTGCAGATTAAAAAGTTCATTGTGCATCCCAGTCACATAAAACCATCTGAATTATTTCTGAAAGACTATCAATTTGAAAGCGATAGTGAAGGTGGATATACAGCTTTGTTCAAGAATCAAAGAACAAGAAATTTCCAAGCAAATATTAAACTAATGGAGAGCTATAGTAAATAATTGGTTGATTTAATAAATACCACAACATCAGAATTGATTTTTTTCTTTTAACTTACAGTAAAATTTTCCCATATCTGGGGGACTCTGGCAAAGAAAAATATAGCGTGCTGAGATGCCTGAAAAAAGTGATTCCAACATTAAAAAACATAAATAATAAAATCCAGCACAAATTACCAATTTAGGGGAAAATATTCAATTTTCAGCCTTGCATAACTATAGATATTTCTTTACTGAACATTTAATTTTGTTTCTACTATGGAAAAAAAGAGCAATCAAGCCTATAATAAAATAGGTTAACACAACTCACATATAGTGCTTCAAACAGGACAGGGTCAATTTGACCAGCTAAAACTGTTGGCGCTACAGCACAATATCTATCGAGTAGCTACTTAAGGATAACAAATAAGAAATTAACACAGACCATTAAGATGGGAAATTTTATCTTCAATTATGAATCCGGAAATAATAATTAAGCAGCACGACCTACCCAATGGATGATTTCCAATAATACCATCAGCACTCAATGACAGAAGAAGAAAAAAGGTTTTATGGTTGGTTACATGAAAGCTCTCTACATCAATACTGAGAAATACAGTAACAGCAGAATAACAATAAGCCTAGAAAATAGGATACAGAAATGCCTTCATCCAAACTTTAGCTCCAACTGGCTGGGAATAATAGTAAATTATCGCAACTAAAATAATAGCTGCAACGAGAAAGAGGAGACACTTGTTGAGATCAATTACTATTAAAATCAATTTTAAAAAGGGGTGAATCTTCTCTATGCCTGAACACCGAAAAATATACCTTGGATTAACAAAAAAAGCAGTTCCCCATAGGCTGAAAATGGAATTCCTTTGTGCAGGCAATATGCCAATGCAATTGTGTAGCCAACAACTTCAAGCTCAAAAGCTGCAACACTAAGGCCCCTGACACTATTGTGCTTCAAAATTTTATATATCTAACAACATGAAAACAAACAATTAGTGACATCATTATCTTATGTTGCAAAAAACATCAAATTATTTAAGCATCAAATTATGAATATCTACAAATATTTCCAATGAAAAAAAGAAACCCATATCACATCTCCTTCCAAGTTCTAGCACATTTATGTTTCATATACATTTTACCAATTTTGCATCATTCACTTCATTTTGCATGATCATCACCTATTTTCTCTGTTAGTTAATATATATTGGGTTATAACATTAGCATAAGAAGATATGAAGACAATATAAGGTTTTGTAATATATCAAATTTGCCCCTTTTCACCAATTCAAACTTCAACAAGCCAAGTAGTTTCACATAAGACCCTTTCGGATCTGATCTCCTGTCATCAATCAAACTTGTTCCTACCAAAAATTTGATCTTTAGAAACAAAAACGAAACTTTCTAGGGTTTCGGGACGAGTGATGATGGGTTTGTTACCTGAGGGATCTTGACGGTGGTTGATCCGGCGACTATGAGGTAACCTAGAATCTTTGATATGAGTGGAAGCAAGCAATCCTTCGTTGGGAATTTTCCCGCGCTCAGGGGTCCAAGAATGCAGCCAAAGTTCATCCCTAAAATCTCCAGCTCCATCATTATTATTATTATTACTATTTTGGGTATCTGTTTTTTGTTCGATTTTCTGAACTATAAAAGCTTAGAATTTTGAAGAAAATCTCCGGTTTTGTTTGTTGGGAATGCGAACGGACGACTTTGAGGTTTGGATACGGATAAATAGAGTTACCCGACCCGTATTCGACAAGGGTAGATGAGTTACCCGACCCGGATTCGACAAGAGTAGATCTCTTCTTTCTTTTTCTTTTTGTTGTGTTTAAGTTTAAATTTTTTTCCCCTTTCTTTTCTGAACAAGGCTCACTTTTGAAACTGAGGATTTTCCATAATTAACAAGATCCTATTTTATCATAATTCACAATAAAAATCCATTTCTTATTTTTCTTTCTTTTTTTTTACCCCTAAAAGATCATCTTTATTTTCGGAAATAAAAAAAATTACACATGTGCTGATGACAAGCGGACAACAAGCTGCGCCGCTAATCCTTTCTAAATTACAAAACCTAACCTACAAAACACGTACTCAGCCGACCCCGTTGTCGCCACACTCTTATTCATGAATTTATGTACCCTTTTGAGGAACTCTACCGCATCAGCTGTAAGGAAACCAAACGTATCGAAAGCGAACGGGATGAAGCTGTGGTTGCTATCCTTGCAAGCTTGATCATGTTTGCCCACCTTTGCCTCCGCCGCTCTATCCGCTGCATGCCCAACCTTGAACTTTCCATTACCAAACCCCACCAACGGAGACACCCCTGTGAGATCAACACAAGCGTGCTTCCCCCCGCTCCAACTGTAGACAAGAACGTCTGCCGGCCTTAGAGTAGATCTAGCCTCTCCAGGAGGAGTGAGGAAGTTGACCGGCACTTCCTATTTTCTTTCTTTCTTACCATTTTTAGGGTTTTTTTATATATTAGTCCCTTAGATTTCAATAATTGCATATTAGACCCTAAAAATTGAAAATTACATATTAGTCCCTCAAATCTCATAGGGCCTTGCAAAATGGTTGGAGGCAAGGTTAAATCACACATTAGATATGAGGAGATTATTCCATCAGATATAATGGTTAGGAGCAAAATGATTGTTGTACTCCTCAATATAATGATCCCCCATCATTTTCTTAATGGGTTTAAACACAATACCCGCATAAAAAATTTGAACTCACTTAAGTTCTCTTTCTCTAATGGTTAGAAAAGAACCCTTATCAAAGTTGAGCTTCACAGAGGTTTGAAACATCAAAGATAGAGAGACTTTGGTTGTCGCTCATGTTCATTTTAGGAGTTAACTTAACCGTGATAGTTTTTTTAATTGAAATACTAACAGAGAGTCTATTTTGCAAGACCCCATAAGATTTGAGGGAGCGAATATGCAAGTTCCAAGATTTGTGGGACAATTATGCAATTATTAAAGATCTCTCACCACCATAGGCAAGATTAGGTGCTCATCCATTTTATTCATTTTTGGTAATGAGTTTCCTGAACGATTTATCGCTGGTTCCTGTGCTTTGCTTGTAAGCTTGAACCTCGACAAAATTTACGAAACAAGTCTAAAATTTTAATCAGGTTTTAGAAAGGTGACACATTGCTGGCATGTCAAATATTCACCTACTTTTGCTCTTACAGGTGACCATTTCAATCTCCAACAACCTCATTCCCCCTAATCTATAATCAATATTATTGGAGGAATTCAACAATTTCAAAGATTAGGTGTTTACTTCTGTTCAAAGAAAGCATACTTCAAAGAATAAAAAGAAGTTAGTTAAGAAAAGAAAACCATGCCAAAGAATTCTGACTCATCATATCGAATTCAAGAAGCAATGCCTCTTGAGTTGCATTCAGCCTTAGTTGAAGTGGGTTTCAAGTTAATATATGCAATTGGTATGTACATATTCAATACTAATCTCAACTGAAGATGATATCAACATGTTTCTGAGCACATCCATCTTTGTTGAAGTGGTCGTCAAGTTATTATGAGCAACCGGTATGCATATTGTCGACAACATTCAACGTGTAAAGAAATATTCAACGCTAATCGAAGTTGAAGTTGAGAGCAACATGTTTCTGATTGACATTGATCGATGCTAGTTGAAGCGGTTTTCAAGTTAATATGACCAATTAGTATGCATACTATTGATAAAGTTGACAGAATTTATAATTTAAAAAAAAAGTTCTACATTCAACCAAACACTACCAATATTGCAACACAAAGGGATATACTAATATATGCGCAAAGGAAGTTAGCTGTCTATACCTTAACTCACAAAAACACAGCCACAAGAAGGGGCTAACTGAAAGAAGGGGAAAAAACTGTATAAAAGAATCGAAAGAACATCAACTTATACAACTAAATCCTCTCGCAAAAAAAAAACGAAGAATTTAGATATCCCGCCTACAAAGTGGGCAAGAGCCATGCCTGATAAGCCAACCATCGATGCACGACAAGTGAAACATATGCCTACAATGAGGCAAGCATCTCGCAGTTTCCCCAACTTGAAAGTCCTAAAAACAAATATCATTGAGTTACGAAATTATAATCGAATATCACAAACATTTGCTCCAAATTATGTCACTAGAACCAACCTGAAGGCACACTGAACAGCAAATCTTTTCTCCGGATGCATCAACATTGTTTTCCTTTGAAATTCTAATATTTCCAAGTTTATTAACAGAATCATTTGACATGCCATCGGTGCCTCCTCCGGTCTCAAAAATGTCAAGAACCTCAATGAAAGGAGCATCCACAGCACTCATCTACAATAAATAATATTAACAAAAAAAATCATATAATAACTTCCATAATATCATTCTAGTTTTTACCGAGAAATATGATTTTACCTGACTCTGAACTGCACTTTGAACTGCAGGGCCGATTTTCTCTCTGACAAGCCTTCCACTTAAGAGACTAGCAAGGACGTCAACCTACGAAACAAGAACAACAATTTGCAAAGTCAACAAATTTTACATTAATTTTCTTTTTCCGAAGTTATTTTGCAGGTTTTTTGGCCTACATACCCCCAATTCTACCCTATTTGCAGATTTCACACCAATCCACATATTTGCAAGTTCGCAAATATAACGTAGAGGGTCAAGCCGAGCTGATAAGCAGCCGATGAGTAGTACACCCAAATCTCATGTCTGACTCTCTTGGAAACGCAACCATATGAAATTTTTCATGGAATAAATGAGGTGGTGCGTTTGTGTGTGTGTGTCATGGGGGTGGGTTTT